TTTCTTTCGCTATGGGATCGTATTCCACACAGGTATTCCACATTAATAATTAGAAGATTTACGACGCGTACCGACAGCTGGAGGACGAGAGTAATGGCGGCTTTGTCTTTCTCGAACCTCGAGGGTTCTTCCCTCTTCCGCCGCCTTACTCTTCGCGTTCTCCGCTTTCGTGCGAGCGCGATTCCTTCGCGTTCTCTTCACCCACTCTCGTCTTCGCATTTCTGCAACATGCATCCGCAATCTCTTTCTTTGCGAGGTGGAATCTCGAGACTAGATGGGTGCGCAAACGCCAAAGGGCTAGAAAACGATCGAAGGATGAAGAAGAGTATCTTTTTGCGCGTTTCTTTGAATTTCTCTAAAAGACGAGAGCCTTTTGCGAGATTTATGAGATAATACTTGCCATGATGTCTTTTACTAAACAACATTAGGTACCGACTATAGAATTTCAGAACAAAATAGTTTCTGCGTATTTAATACATTAAGTATTTGATGCATTAAGAATATTAATACTTGAATAATTTTTTACTTCCTTACTTTATACCTATAAATTTTTTAATTAGATGATAAATTAATTTATAAATATGATTTCAAAGATTGGACAATTATAATCGGATAATAAATGGCAACTTAAGAAATGATTTTATTTTTGTGCATATTTCTTTATTCAATATAATAATCAGAATTCATCTTGCAGTTCATTACGATTAGCTGAATAAAATTTGTTTTTACTGAAGAAACCAATTTGAGCGCGAATTTGCCATATATAATATTTTATGGCCCGTAGAATACTTTCTTTTTCTCTGAAGTCGCACACAATCCGAGTGCAGTAATTATGAGTGCCTTTTAAGAACCGCGATAGTCCATTGTATCTCTCTTCTTCTTGCAACAGCTCGTAAAAACCAGCGCTCTAATTATGCGACGTAAATGCTTATGTCCAATCTATGTTAAATATGCTCAACTTGAGAATATTCTCGATCATTAAGAACAATGGATTAACAAAATGAGTTTGTTAATTAATTAAACGTTTTAGAATCACGAATATAATAATGTATGATCAGTAAATTCATTCTTTTTTTTTATTAAATAGAGATTTTATTATTAAGTAATAAATGATAAATTTGTAGTATAATTTCTTTAATATTTTTACTTTTGTTTTTTTTTTTTTTTATGTAGTACAGAAAACAACATTATGAGTATATTATCTTCAAAAATTATAAGATTAAGATAAAATATATACAGTATTTTTTATTGATTTAATGCTAGATGTATTCTTAAAATTACATACAATGTTATGTATAATGTGATAGGCTAAATTGGATGAATCGGTTGAGAATCTAGTTTCCAAATGGAATCATCGTATTGAGTGGGCTAGGTTCATTCCTCCTACGTTGTATGAGTCAATCTCCTTGTACGGAAAGGAGAAGCGTGTCCGTTTATTTCGCACCGGAAATACAGCGTAGTTGACGACTTGATGATCTTTCCTCATTAAGAGCCACACCTTATTGTTCCTTTTTTTCACAATTCGTAAAATGATTAAAATTCTCTCGATTCTTGTGTATTTTTTACAAAATTGAAAGGTATGTTTTTTGTATTTTTTAATATTTAAATTTGTAATTTTAATTTTGCAAAGTACGGAAATTTTTCAAGTCTTTGATTATCTTATCATTTTAGAAAAATAAATAGAAACGATTACTTATTATATATACTTATTATATATACAAATTTTTCATTTTATATTTTAATTGCAAAAGTTCCAATAATTCCAATACAGATTGATAGAATTAATTCTAACTATTTTACATTGCACGTGTTACATCACTGTGAATGCTTCTTTCAAAATTATTCTTTTGAATGAATTTGTGTAAACGTATTATGAAATTGCAGATGCAACACGCGGAGTAAAAATACAGATGAAATAAATTGCAGAAATTGGTCTTAAAAGTAAATTTATTGCGCATCATTAATAAATTATGATTTGTGTAATTATGATTTGGAAATTGGTCGCGCTTTCTCTTGTCTCCTTGCTAATAAAACAGTGCGACGCTTCAGCCTATAACTAACAATGACTATAGCGTAATCGGTGACAATGCATCTAAATCCAACGATATGTTGCAATACATATATCAACGTAATCCGATTACTACACACGGCAAACGAGATAAAACATAAATCGATTATCGATTTTGTTTGCAACTCGGTTTGCAATTTGTAGCGATATACATTTAAATATATTTATGTAAACATCGCTTACAAATGTTTGCTGAACCTAAGATCGACAATAATATTATCCTAAGAATGGATCTAAATCGGAGAAAGCCCGCGAAAAGCATATTTTTTAGAAAGCAGTGGAAGCCTCGAGAATATATTATTTTTAAGATATTGTTTAATTATAGAAAACATTTTACTAAAGTATCTAAAAATTCAACTAGATATAGAGCTGAAAATATCTATTTTTAAATAATCAAAACACATAAATATGTATAATAAAACACTTAAGCGTTGATGCTGCAAAAAGTTTAACATTCTAACAAGTTCGAGTGTTACATAATTATTTTGACGGTTCAAACAAAAGAAGTGTTGAAATAGAATCAAAGTATCTGTAATTTATTTGTGATTTATCTATTGTGAAGAATCTATTATTACGTAAATGTAAAATTTTGCTTTTATATTGGAAAGAAAAAGGAAGGACAGCGCAGAAAAAGAAGATTGAGATAGATAAGACAATAATAACAATCGTAAGAAATATCGATATAAATCTATAACATGGCTAATAAATTAGCGTTATATATAAAATTCGAAAAAATATGTGTAACAACCGAAGGAATGTACAAGATGCATCATCAAAATCCGGACAAATCGAACAATTTCTTTAAACAAAATGTTTTTAATGAAAAATTAAATATTACAAAAAATCCTTTTACATGGCACTTGAGGGATAATTGTGCTCTCTCTGTAGAGCACAATTATTCGATATATCTCCCATTAGCTTAAATGATGGCCTCTATTCTCGGTCTGAAGCGTTCGCACGCTCGCTGTAATGTAGCGCTGTTCATGATGAATGCTGCTTCAACAGCGGTCCTTAATGACGTCACATTGGGATGCCAAGATTTGTTTGTGCCCCTTTCAATTACGCTACGTACTAGTCCAAGGGACTATTTAAATCTGGTCTGTTGGGAGGACAGAATGGAAGCCGAGCCGAGTGGCCGGGCTTGTCAGGGCAACCTCAGAGAGTATCTATCGTATCTTTAATGTGTACGATTTGTATCGAAGATCCTCCTCGATAATTCGACGCATTGTACAACAATCGATGCTAATTTTCGCAATTTCGATTGCCCTGGTCATCCGAAATCAGCGCTTGAGCCCTTTCAACGACTACGAGCGTCTTCGCGGTGCGTTCTTTCGACTGTTTCTCTCTGGCATACTGGAACTTTCGTTGGACTGTTCTAAAGCCGTATATTTTGCCACAATGTCATAAACAATTGATCTCGGGTAATTCTCCAAAGAATTATTTTTATTGCTGAGCGCCCAGCGCGAAGATGATCGCGGCTCTTCGATTATATTCCATTTGGTTTCAACATCGCGGTCATTTTGAGAATATGATTGTTTACTAGAATCATCAGGCTTTCTTGGATGCCAACAACAACCTCTGGCGGAGACACAATATAGCAGAAAATTTAAATTGAAATTTGTCCGGATTTTAGTGACGTATTCTGTGTATTACAACGCTATGTCAAAATTTACTTTCGTTAACTCTGGAAGAAGTAGGTTACGAAAACAAATCTATATATCATAAACATAATCGAATGCAAATGTATGTGTGGCGCGATGTATGCGGGTATGTGTTTGTATGACAGTTTCAGCAGATTACAGTCACTATTCTGATGGGAATGAATGGACCAGCATGTGCGTATTAAATATCTTTTTTCCTCTCCCCTCGCTTTCTCTCAATCGTACGTCAATTCATACACGTTCATGGTTCAGATACATGTGCAACGCGATAGAGTTACGGAAGTATTTCCGTATTTTGTCAGTCTTATCTGGTTTTCTGATTGCGACAGTGGTTCTCAATCAATCGATGCTTGTAGTAGGTTTTAAATATTTGAATATGATTCTTAACCCAGGAATAGTCACCTAAAATTTTTACACTTTAACAGCAAGAAAATAAAGTTACAATAGTTTTCTTTACTGATCGTGAATATTCTATACTTATTTTTTATTTCAACATATGTTTTTTTAATATAGAATAGTCTATATACCGCAAATGTAGGTGACTTGAGATAATGTACGTAATTTGAGATAGTACTTTTGTTAAATTCGATTATGGAATCCATGAGTTCTCTAAAGGAAAATTTAAAAAATGAATTACTAAGTTCGAAATTTAAATTTAGAGATTCATGGATGGATACCACGATTAAACTTAACAAAAATACATGCTGTCCCAAGTCCTACATTTACGGTATGTAATAATAAATCTATATACAATAATATATAATAGTGTATAATAGTGATTACAAATAAACTGTAATATATTCAATTAATATACAATATGTAATCAATAATAGAGAATTTTAATTAAAGTGTAAAAATACCTTAATAGTTCAAACGAAAAAGCTAGACGACTATTTCTGAGTTAAATATCTCCATTTGAGTTTATCTATGCTTATCGAACGAATAATTATTTATTGAGGCGCGCATTCAATATTATTAATACATATTATATTAATATGTATTAATATTTACTATATTTGCTTAAAAAGTATACAATATATTTTTCTTCCAATATTAAAAAAATCTATAACAAATGTTTTTCCAAACTATGCTTTACTTTTTACTAACTTGGAAACCTTTTACTAATTTGACAACATCTTGTAAATACACGTGAAAATCTTGTTTTTCTTATCTGTCTACGCCTGGCATTATATAATTCTACGAGGCTATGCTTATCTTTTTCATATTCTCATAACTTTGGATTTGTCAACACAAATGTAATGCTTATATAGCGCCGTTATTACGACGAGTTTCTACGTTGCCAAGAAGAGGATCTCAACACAGGCATACCTTGGATCCAGAATTGTCTTCGTTGCGCGAGCATGATAACAATCATCTTTTCGTGGAGTGTAAGTGTGTTCTCGCGTAAATGTATTTTTATGAATATTATCTTATAAAAAATGTACATATAATTTTGATGCGATTATAAAAAAGTTGTGCAATTTGTCGGTCTGTCCGAGCGTTTTAGTAGATAATGACTTTTTACAAACTACACATCACCAGCCTACTTTCTGGTCTCAAATTATCGTATTCAATTAGTTTCACTCTTTTATTTGTTTTATTTATTAAAAAAAAATTGCTTTTCTCGTTACGATTATGTCGAAAGATGGTGGAACAATTTCCCAGTGTTTACGCGAGAAGATCGACCGCCTGGAATCGAGCCAGCGATATTTTTACGCGTTTCATCGGTCGAGACGGAAACTGATGCGCGAACGAAACTCGCAATATTCAACGATCTATGATCGCAGTTACACGAAACGATCGGAATTTCGGGTTGTTGGCGAAGAGAGTTTTTGATGCAGTTATGCGGGATTGCAGCATTCATGCACGCAGACTATGACCCATATTCGCGGATCATCCGCGAAATGAGAAATCGCAGATGAAATGAATGTGGCTCACTTATTTACTCTGTGAACAATGTGATATTTAAAATTATACTGGATTGAAATATAGATTATTGATTTCCAAACATGAAGTTTTAACGATATGATTCGTGTAAATGTAGAAGACATACGTTGAACAGTAATTTAAAACAATAATATAAATGAAAATAATAGAACAGAATTGATGAAATCGAAGATGAGAAAGAATCAACTATGCGTAATAGAGGAAAATGAAATTACTATTAATTGATAGCCATATCCATTTTTTTTTTGCTTTTTATCGCATATCAAGTTAAACAATTCAATTTTCTTGATTTGCAGAATCAGAATTTTCTTTGTGAAAGTGAAAAGCTGTGATTAAATTGCGAAATTTATACGAAACACAATTGAAAACATGGAGCGTAATCTGCGAAATACATTACTTATCTTATGCCGTTGCAATAATTTTTCTCGCAGTTAGCAGATCCTTATAAGCTTGCTAAGCATACGAGATTTCTTCAAGATCTCACGCAGATTAGGACAACGGAAGTAGACCGAGCGCGTGGAAATTGGCAGAAGCGCGCAATGAATGCGGCTTTCACCGGATTACGCAAAAGAGGCGGTGAAGCTGTAGTTCGAAATGCAACCGAGAACGCGAAACAATGACCAAGAAACTCGAGCAGATTCAATTCACGAAGCGGGAGGAAAAATGTGTCCCGATTTCTCAACTAGAAAAAGACAACCGGAAAAAGACATCAGTGTGCAATTTCAATGAAAGAATATCCTTAATATTTTTTGAATAGTTTCTCTCAATCTTCTTAATATATAAGTTAAATGCATAAGCATTAAATAGTAAATGTATCAAAATTTATTAAGCGACCAATGTATTACAATTAGACGAGTAGGATTGTATTGAAAATATTCGCCGTAAATACATTTTATTGCATAAAGTAAAATTTATTATATAAAATAAATTAATGAGATTGCAATTAATTTTGTACTATTTATAATTTAGTACTATTAAATTAGCGAATTATTAATAGGCTATAATTTATGGATAAAGATTAGTTTGCAGATGCAGGTAAAAGATTAATGATGAATTGATTAAATTACGATCGATGCTAAATAAGTAATATAGCGTAGGCACTAATTATACGAAAACAATGGTTTCAGTTGAATTAGCTAAAATTGTAATACTTTATAGATTATGAAATGTATGTGTGCTGATCAAAAATTTTCATAGGTGATCATAAAAAAATAGGTAGATTTTAATCTATTTAAAAGTTATTTTGAGTTTAATTGAACTGATAAGTAAATATTTTCATCTACTAAACTATTCATTTTTTATATCTATACCTTAATATTTTTATGCACAGAATAATGAGATAAATTAACTGATGTAAAGAAAAATATATTGTTGTTTAAAAAAAAGTACACTGTAAAAAATAAAATATTAATTTTAACTTAAAGACGTATAGTGGATTTTCTGAGACACGCAAAAATGTGAAAATTAATATTTTTTTGTCAATTTTAACATTTTTGCATGTCTCGGAAAGTTCATTATACGTCTTTAAGTTGAAATTAATATTTTATTTTGCAGCATATATAGTTCGCAAATATGCATATTGCATAATTTTTTTAAAAATCACTATATATTTTTTTTACATTATTTGATTCATCTCAAGATTCTGTATAAAAGTATAATATTAAGAAACGATTAAAAAATGAATAGTTTGATAAGTAAAGATATTTTTTAGTCTGATTAGATTAAAAATAGCAACTTTTAAAAGAGTCCATTTTGTTGCCCAATTTGATCAGCATCTCATAATCTCCAAAAGATCAATTTCAGCCAATTTGATTAATACGACTTTTTTTCATATGATTAGTACGGAGTATTTTATTCTAAATAATTTAATACTAATTCGTTTTTACACTTATATTCTTAATGCAAATAATTTTTTTATACGTGGCTCTTTAAATTATAACAAATATAATATCTGTCGGACAAAGGGTTCGTGTAAAATTCCGTTTTATGTCGAAACTAAACTCAATTGTATGTACCGTGATGTATAAAATTAATGACATTATACGCCACTTAGCGAAGCAAAATAGATCATCTCATTACGCACTACGACCTGATTTCGCCCTATGGCGATTAATTTCATTTGTGCCAACGACAAAGGAGCGATTTCGTGGAAGAGTATAAAAGCGGCGGAGTATAAAAGCAGACGGCAATTTTTTTTTTGCGAGAGAGTTGATTAAATATTAACGTGAACGGAATGATGCAATGAGCATAAAAAAGCAATGGATTTCATAAGAAACAGACGATCTTGCGATCTTTTTTACTTGATCTCTTTTATTTCGAGACCTCATCCGTTTTTCTCACCGTATTCTAATCGTTGCGCAACGTGAGAAGTGTTACCGATTTCAGAAGATTTCAGATAACATAGAACGTGCGACGCACTGAAACGTAAATTAACAGTCCGTAACGGTATAGTTATCCAAGTAACATAATGACAAGTGACATGCCTTCTAACATGCGAAATTCGCTTTTGCAGATTCTCAACTTAAACAGACAATTAAAATATATTACTTTTGATATTTTTAACATTCGCATTTTGTTATTATTTAAATTGATTAAATTGTAATTGATATTGAATCAATAATACAATTTTTTATTATGTATAACAATTTTGACAACATTAAAAGAATCAAATTTTGTGGTTCAGTCACTTTAATACATTTACATATCATTTGATTTTGATATTTAGATTTATAGTTAAATTTGTTATTAATAACAACTATCATATTACATGTAAATGCAGATAATACAGGTAACTGATTTATGTACAGATTAAAATTTAATTTAAGATAAATTTACCATAAAATGTCTTTTTCCACAATTTTGCAAGCATAAACAACAAGAATCTTATTGGACTGTATGAACATAAATTCACGAGCAACGAAAAACATATGTTGCTTAAATGCATTTATAACACTTTATAGGATTTTAGGACTTTAATAAACATTTCTTTTTTTGTCTTTAGAAAGTAATAAGCTAATGTTGACTTTTTACGAGCAGATATTTTACAATCATAAAATAACTAGTCAGTTGATGAATTACTCACCAGAGCAATAATGAAAAGTAATCTCACGCGAGCTGAATTATCAGCTTACGCGTGCAATGAGCAAAAGTCAAAGGTGACTTAATTACCGGCGACCTTATTTATCGCCGCAACGTTAAATTTTGTAGAGGAACTAGACGATGCGTTCTTTTAGTGGAGTTATGAAAACTAACTTATTCGAAATGTAATTTTGTTATTTAAATAACAAAATTTTAATAAATAGTAAATTATATTATTATACACCGAAATTGATAAATTTCATTGATAAATTTGAAAGAGTGCGACATGAAGTAAATATAATTACAGAAAGAATAGAAAGAGAGAGAGAGAGAGAGAGAGAGAGAGAGAGAGAGAGAGAGAAATGATAGGAACAACAATAAGAGAAACAAATAATGCAGTAATAGTTTGGCTAGCTTTATTCTCGCGCATTATTGTGTTAAAATTCGCAATATACCTCGACCTGTATCTCTACGTTGCTAAATTAATTTATATTGTAGGTATTGTTGTCACGAATAATTATGAAAAATCATATTTACCATAGAAAATATAGCCATAAGCGTATTTACAATATATTGAATTTCACGTATTCGCAAAAAGAATCTCGAAAATATAATGTAAAAAAATAATCAGATAGCTTAGATTTTTCCGAAATATTATTTTTTTGAACGATAAAAATTAAATGTAATATACATGATATGAAACATTATATTCTTTTATATTAAAACATCCTTTCAATCGCGCGTATTTAAAAAAAAATGCACAATAGCTTACAAACAACACTGCCTCTTTTTTCAATATGAAAAAGTTCTGATTCTTATGTGCAAATAAATTTGTTAGTAGTTTGACAAATATGTCTATTGCCACACATGTCTAAAATTTTAAACAATCTTTGTCTGATATTATTCAACCTTCCGCTATATATATATTGGATCGGGGAAAAAGTTTCTTCGTTTTAATTTTTTAATTCAAAATTGTATACAATCTTCATCAAAAAGGAACGAAATTTAAATTAAAAAAAAAAGAGTTTTAAAGCTTGAAACTTTTTGAAAGATTATACTATATTTTTTGAGTTTCTATGAGTTTAATGGGAATTTTTACATTTAAAAAATTACGAGCTGAAAAAGATGAAAAATTTTCTATTCACTTGAGGGATCTTTGACGCATCCAAAAAAAATTTACGAAAATTTTCGACTATCTATCGTGAAAGCTTTCCCACAAAATCATTTTTTAAGAATGTTCCTATGATTTTTTCTCCTAAATTATTCGCCAGTTAAGTAAAGGAGCATTCTGACTTTGCTTATAACTCCGATAAAAATTATCATATCACAATTTAAAAAACAGATTCTTAAAGCTGAAATTTTATTTTAGCGAAAGATATAATTGTAACGAAAAT